ACACACACACACACACACACACACACACACACACATTACACTCACGTGTGCACATGCGCACGCAATGAAATATTCGAACACACTCCGCGGGTGCGCACACACACACAAATACACATACACATAAAAAAGTTGGTCCAACAGCCGTTTAGAGTTTCTTCTCTTTAAAAGAAGGTAAGGTATCAATATCAAGAGTGCGTACAAGATACCAACAATCCGTGTAAACCTTCCTTTGTGCGAGTAGTTTATGTCTATATGTGTGTATGTGTGTGTGCGTGTGCGTGTGCGTGTACATGTGCATGAGCGTGTGAGTGTGAAAGAATGTGTTTTGGTGTGAGAGTGTGTTTGTGGGTGTGCGTCATAGTGTTTGAAAGTGTGTACATTTGTTATTGATGTATAGATATGTTCGGGGTTCAATCCTCTGCAGAGGAGATAACACAAGAGACCTTCTTTGTTTACACAAAATGCAAAATAATGTAGTGTTTATTGTAGTGTATTTCTCCTGCCTTCTATTTTGGAGCATTCCTCCTACCTTCTTTCTTTCCTTCCTTTTGGAGCATTCCTCCTACCTTCTCTCTTTCTTTCTATTTTGGAGTATTCCTCCTATCGTCTCTCTTTCTATTTTGGAATATCCCTCCCACCTTCTCTATTTCTTTCTATTTTGGAGTATTCCTCCTATCTCTTTCCTTCTTTTTTTGGAGTATCCCTCCCACCTTCTCTCTTTCTTTCTATTTTAGAGTATTCCTCCTACCTTCTCTCTTTCCTTCTTTTTTGGAATATCCCTCCTGACATCTGTCCTCAATTCTTTTTTAGACTGACCTGGCCGGTGTCTGTGGTGTAGCGTTTAAGCACTTCACTGTCGCAAACAGAGGATGTGAGTTTTATTCCAATATTGGGAGAGCTTTTGTAAAAAAAAATGGTCGCTTTAAAGCACAAGGGGGCTTTCCCGAAAAATGTCGTTTTGAGAAAATCGAAGGTAAAGTTTTTGCCCCTTGTTCAGTTTCTTTAAAAGACAAGGAGAGTTTTCTCAATAACCAAATAGATATACCCACCAATGAAACCAAACGTCTCCTACAGGTAGGGCAATGCCCACTTTCGGTGTAGGTCAAGATTTCTGGAAACCCCCGAAATCTGGGTTAGCCCGCTTGTCCTTAAAAGCGACCAAATATCTTCTCCGTCTTTCTGCTGGGAGGTCTTTACGATACCCTCTTAATCGGGTTGAAATCCTAGGTTATCTAAATTGTGTCGATGTTGGCTTAAAAACATACTTTTTTAAAGGCTATTGAAAGAAGACACCGATGACATACGAAATTAAGTAAGTAAATGTAAGAAAGCCTTAAAAGATCCTAGATCCTTTTAGTGGTAAGCAACATGATATACAGAAAAAAATACAAATAGAAAATGATTTTTTTCAAATGTTTATTTAGCACCATAATTTTCATAGCAGTATAATTTGTTTTAAAAAGTTCAACATGAGCAGACTTTGTATAAAATAGTTTGTGGCATTTAAAAAACAATAAAATGATCTTCTTCAAGAACAACATCCTCCATCATCAACAACAGGAACAACGACAACCAAATCAACATTAAAAAGTAAACAGTATATCTTTTTCAGAAACAAAAGTCACATCATTCATCATCATCATCATCATCATCATCATCATCATCATCATCATCATCATCATCATCATCATCATCATCATCAGCAGCAGCAGCAT